TGTATGCCCATGATTGGTTTTCTACTCCGTGAACGGTCAACGTGGCGCACCAAAACAAATACTGCAAACATTTTATGACAACATCATATTTCTTATTTTTATGTGGCTGCCTCGCTACTCACTGCTGTGCTCCTTTTGTTTTGACTCATATCAAAGACTCACATCACTGCCAAGAATGGAGTCCAAGCCTATTACTGTTACTTTGTTTAGATAAGACAAGTGTTGAAAGCCCTGATTTGTGAATGGCAAGTTTTCAGTCTGTTTGATACAAACAGGTGAAAATAAGGTATGCTGTTTAAAATATAAATTATGCAGGTTTTAAAATCTAAAGGCCTTGTCCTAATAGCATCATGTGTTTTGTGTAAACAGCAGTGTTTCTTATTGTGTATAGTGACGACTGTGAGAAGAAATAATTGCCGGTGCTGAATCTGTTGAACATGCTGAAGCATTCAGCATACCAAGAGATTTTGGACAATTCCGTGCTCCCTGTGGTGTGGGAACACTTTGGAGGTGGCCCCTTCTTCTTCCAACATGACTCTGACACCAGTGCACAAAGCAAGGTCCATAAACGGGTGGATGACAGAGTCTGGGTTGACAACTGGACTGGCCTGCACAGTCTCCTGAACTCAACCCGAGAGAACACATTTGGGATGAATCAGTTTGTGACCTCACAAATGCGCTTCTGGAAGAATGGTCCAAAATTCCACCAAACACTATCCTAAACCTTGTGAACAAGCTTCCCAGAAGAACCGACGCTGTAAAGAGTAGAACAATATCCATCGTAAACTCAACGAGAAAACTGACACTCCTCCATGAATTTGCAAAGTTGTTCAAATTAACAGTGTTGACTGCATATTTGACTTTAATTTAATCTCACTTGAAGCATATAGTACATGAAGCATATAGTAGACGCTTGTGGTGATAGCCGTAGTTCGTCTCCATAAAACGAGGATATCGAGGAGCATCGCCCCATATCCGCAAAATATTTCTACCTCCTCCCGCGTCGCTGCTCTGTTGCTATGAGGTGATTAGATGAGCCCCGTCTAGGGGTGTCCAAACTCGGTCCTGGAAGGCCACTGTCCTGCCTGTTTTCGTGCTCTCTCAGCTGTAACACACCTGAATTCAAATGATCAGCTCATCAACCAGCTCTGAAGCAGCATTAGAACAATCCTGATGATGTGAATCAGGTGTGTTGCTCCTGGGAGAGCTGCAAAACAGGCAGGACAGCGGCCCTCCAGGACCGAGTTTGGACACCCCTGCCCTCGACTGAAAATCTGGTGTTAATTTAAACCAAGGGTGTTCATTTTAACATCGGCAAAGTGTCTAAATACATCTGGTGCTAAAGTAACATCGATGAAAGTTTTAATAGACGGATTGATGTCTTTTATTAAATCCAGCTCATTTCACATGGCTCATAAAATTGTAGGGCACAAAGTACAATATGTTCTTCCCTCATTTTTATGTGAAAACTGCCTACCATGCCAATAATAAAATCAGGGCAGGCACACCAATAACAATCAACAAATCCTCCTCAATTGTAAATGCATTTAGGTTGTCAACATGGTTGTCATTAAAACCCACAGCGATTACATTTGTGGTCAAAAGAAATGCCTGATCATCATGAAGATGTAAACAATGTTCCTCAAAGTAGAGAATTCATCCGAAACAGAAGGGGATCCCACAAATGCAGACCAGGATAAGATAAGATCCATCCATCCATCCATGCATCTTCTGATCCGCTTATCCTCACAAGGGTCGCGGGGGGTGCTGGAGCCTATCCCAGCTGTCTTCGGGCAGTAGGCGTACACCCTGAACTGGTTGCCAGCCAATCGCAGGGCACACATAGACAAACAGCCATTTGGGCTCACATTCACACTTCGGGACAATTTAGAGAGTTCCATTAACCTGCCATGCATGTTTTTTGAATGTGAAAGGAAACTGGAGTACCCGGAGAAAACCCACACATGAACGGTGAGAACATGCAAACTCCACACAGGAAGGCCGGAGCCGGGATCGGACCCACGACCTTTGCACTGTGAGGTCGACGCGCTAACCACTGGACCACCGTGCCGCTCCAGAATAAGATCAATGACTTACTTTAACCAGAATCGCGCGTCACGTTGTGCCCAACCGTACAATAGAATCCTGGTCAGTTATTGCATCTTTTAGTGCTGGAAATCGGAATTCCTCGTCCTCGCAACATTAGTTGCCATGAGTACTACTTCTCCTTGTTCTTCTTCTTCCATTTCTTTTATCTTTTGTCGGTTGGCGAATACTTTTTGGTGAATCACGCCCACAAAAGTTAGCCATCAAAAGCATTTGCCAACGCTAAAAGAAAGTCAACATGATTAGAGAATCGGGATTTTCGAGCTCTAATTTTAAGATCCAGTATACAAGGCGCTCCTGATTAGAAGTCACAGGACGAGCCAAACTATAGTCCCCCAAAATCTGGTATGTGTTTATGACATTAGTATATTCAATGACTCAAGTATTTGTCGACTTGATTGTTCCCCGACTGCTATCTTAATGAGGAGTTTATACCTGCCTCCTTCCTTTGCCTCGTTATGTGCTTCCTTTCCTTTTCCTTCATTATCATTCATATTCACATTGTGCTTGCGACACGTTCCCTTGTATTACTAAGCAACCGTGGTGAATGTTCCACAGAGGACTGTTAAAGAGAAAGCTGTGAGGATCTAGGGCATTTATGAACACAAGTTGTTCCATGGGAACAAAATAGTCTTGAAAATAGAAAAGCTGTGAATGAGTCAGTTCCAATGGCATGACTGGTTGAGTAAATTGTTCATTCAAAACAAATACCTCAGAGCAGTGTAACGATTATCACTTGGCAGTTACTGTGTGATCTGAAGTCTCCTGCTACAGTAGATGGCACTGTTCCGCTTTGTGATGTCTAATTTTATTTTTAATACATACTACTGATTCAGAGCCAACGGAATGTTATGTGGCTGCTATGTCCACCCACCCCCTGGGCCCACAGGATAATGGAGGGGCAAATGTTAGTTTGCAATATTTTCCTTCCCTCAATTTTATAGTGCTGCTATTAAATTGATGTCCAGAGTGTTTGTGTCAGATGTCCTGTTCTGGTCAGCTGTGTGTCAAGAGGCACGGGATCATCGGCCTCTAGTTTGCGGCTTTTTTCCAAAACATATTCAAAGGAGACCTTTTGCATTTTTCCCCACAATTTTAAACAATTTCTAGTTATCTTAATACCGTGTCCATCTATGACATTCTTTTGTCAAACGACAACAAGTATCAAGGATTATAATTGATACCCCTGCTTTTTGGTCTCTGTGAATTTAGCTTGTTTTGAGATGGCAGCATGGCAATGAGCTGGCCGTCATCCCAACTCACATTCTGCTGGGCTACGTCGACTCGGGCTGGATCTAGTGTAGGCTCAACTTAGCACTGGATTTTAAAAAAGCCACCGTAGTTATATGTGAGTTCCCGCAAAGACAGCATGGATTATTTTTTCACTCGTAGAGGCAGCACTTCACCACCAATCTACCATATTTCATGGCAATGATTAATGTGGACCTGTTTATCTGGCGCATGTCGTGGATATTTGCAAAGCGCAAATAATGCTTCCTCCTCAACTCCAGTCGTGCTGTTAGTTTCATCAAATGTGTGCATTCAACATGGCTCACTGCAGCTCTGCTTAGTTTTTATCTATGACAAGATAGAAGGGGTCCATTAGGGGATTTGGATATTTCTGCATCATTGTTGCTCTGCACGCAAGTGTTTCAGACACAGTAGTCCGGCTGTTGCTTGAAAGTGGCTATGAATATTAACCAAGCCTAGCTGACCATGTGAATAGCAGAGTAACTTTGTGTGTGGGCGGTGACGTAAATTTACTGTTGTGTAACCGCAGGGCAGGAATTCAGAATGGCTTGCTCACAGACGTATTTTCAGAAAAGGGCAGATAACAAAAAGCTTTACTTTTGTTTACCATCTATTTGTAAGCCATCAATTAAAAAGCACATTTTCAATCAATTTCCTTGTTCCCATTAATGCAAAATAATGATTCATTGGCAAAATGTATAAAAATAGATGATCATAATGACAATCATAACTATTGGAATGTATTTCGTTTCAAATGTGTCATAAATGCAATACAGTAATTTAAACATATATTATTTCTTCATTTGTAATGTTTTAAATGTCCACAAGTGGCAGAACGAATTCTACAGCGAGGCTATATGGAACCGTGGAACAGCCAGTGTGGATGTGGACATTTTTGTCATGTTGCGTGATGGTAGAGGACCCAAAAAGCAGGCAGGCAGAAGAAGCAGTGTGGACTGAATAAACTGTATTAACAAAACATTGGAAACAATAAAACCACTCGCACTAACAAAGTCTTGAAAAGATCAAAATTGAAAGTAACAGCAATATATCAGGAACTAAAACGCCAGGATGAGAAATAAAACATGACTTCAACAGAAACAAGACAACATGACACTAACATAACGATGGGGCACAAAGACTGACAGAACCCAGGAAACTCAATACAAGCAAAGTGACGAGACAACAAGGAACACCTGGACAAGACACAAAGCGTTGAGGGAGCTGAGTGATTGACACGAGGGACCCGGATGACAACAGGTAGAGAAAAGACAAAAAACGAGGACGACAAAAACAAATGAGGTAACAAAACCACATGTAAACAAAAAACATCATGACAATTTTTGACTGGCAAATAACGTTCAAACTATTTACAAGTACGCTGGAATGAATTGTTTCATGTGAAATTTAAACGTTGTGCAATAGTTAATCATCAAACAAAAATGTAAAAAAAAAAAAAAAACGCCATTGAGAAATTAGAATATGCCATTACAATCAAATGTTTGTTGTCTTTTAAAGAAATTAGGAAGGACTATTTTAAGTACTTTTAAAGGCGGTTTTTTTTTGTTTCACTACAAATATGTGTGCATCGCGTAATTAATGTTGGGGCAGTAAATGAAGACTTTAAACGGGCATGATGTTTTCGAAGCGAACCGTCGTCAGAAGGGTAGCAAGCGCTTTTCTCCCCCGAGTCCACACGGGGAGGGCGGAGAGGATTGTGGTAGTGACGTCAGTGCGGCAGCATCAGCATCACTAAAAACCTCGCCAAAAACATCACTACACATCGACCAGTGCCGCACGTCGGGCCAAAAAGCGAGGAACCAACCAACCAACGGCCGCCGCACCAGCCCGCCACGTCTCTTGGGGCCGCTTGCGTGCGTCTCCTCTACGGCTACATGAGGAGCTAAAGGCGCCCGAACAAGCGCGGACTCTTGTTTTGTTTTTTTGGGGGGCTGTAGGGTGGACTTGTCCATAAAACAACGGAGCCATGGACGATGTTAAAAAGCAAAGTGCTCTTCTTCACGTCGCCTTTCTATTGAGTAAGTGATAAGTTTCAACAGTCGATTGTCTCCTAAATTTGAAACTTTTCTCTCTGAACCAGCTGCTGAAATTTCATCTTTCTTTTTTTTTTTTTTTTTTTGCATTTTAAAGATGGAAACGATCGTTTTGGTCCAGACTTTTAAACGCATTTGCATTTATTATGAAAACAAATAAAGACGAAGCTTCGAGGCAGATTCATTTGGGGTGAACTTGAAAGAATTGAAATTACTATTCGAAATTGATATTTGAGTGGTGAGACCCGTCAGAAAGTTAGGGAAGTTGACTCAAAAGGGGAAAAAATATTTTTTAATCAATTAGTTACCTACAGTATATTTTCTTCACAGTGTAGACTGCAGAGGGTACCGGGCATTTATTAGAAACCTTCTTTTGCATTACCTTTTTTTAATCTTAAAAAATAATCAATACCATATATTGTACATTTTAATCTTATCTATATGTAAAATTAGAGTGAAGTGTTAATCTGATGTAATGATTAAAAAATAAATCAGTATGGTGAATGAGGATAATTCACCTTGAAATTCCATACAAACTTTGTGTTGTTATAGTTATGTACGGTAAGCTTGCTGCTACTACATCTGCAAGTCATATGAGTGTTGTTCCAAGCATGCTTCCTTATTTGCATTGTTGATTTAAAGTGGCTTTTAAAGTGTTTTGCACAAAGATTGATTCATTTTGAAACGCTGGACCAGAATTTTTCATCTCCATTTTTTCACGTATTGGAAACGTGTGTGTGTGTGTGTGTGTGTGTGTGTGTGTGTGTGTGTGTGTGTGTGTGTGTGTGTGTGTATATATATATATTCTGAGTTTAATTAAAAATAATTGATTGGTGTACTATTTGTTTTTTTTCTTTCAATGTTTTTAATGTCGTTCTTCACATTAAGACAAGTACAACAAGAATAATAACAACCACGAAAACAATGTTAAAAACGATCCTAATCCTCCAACACGCCTGTGATCTCATTTAGATTTCGTAAACAACATCCCCTAAAAGGCTTTGGCCATTATACAACATAGGGGCTCCCCCTATCGTACTAAACACAAACCGCATGCACTTGGGAAAATTACGATCAGTGCAATCGATTCCAGACCAGTATGCAGTGAGAGATAATTAGGGGCACCTATCCAATTTCACTTAGTTTGTTCAACAAAAAACAAACACACATATATATATATATATATATATATATATATATATATATTGTGTGTGTGTGTGTGTGTGTGCGCGTGCGCGCGTGTATAAGAGAAAGCTACTACTGGCTTTCTCGTTGGATTTCTCATCAGAACATTTGGAGTAGCATTTGCTGGAGACCTGGGCTAAATTGCATCATTCGTCATGTTGGAGAATCATCAAAAATGTATAGCACCATTAATGAAGCAGGCTTTTCTGTCTCTTTTTAGTGAAATTTTAGTGGACTTTTCAATGGAATTCCTCCATCGACTGCATAGTATCTTAAATCCGTCAAACATTTCCATGTAACATTTACATACAGTGTAGAGTGTGAAGATGTAAGTTTACGCAACCCAGTATTCGACTATCAAAATTGTCACAAATTATTTTTTTAATCTATTGAGGAATATAAACATGGTATTGATATTTGAACAAGCTACAATAAGTCCAAGTGCAACTCCCTGCTATTTTCGGTCAGCACTCCATGCTGTGCGGCCTCGATTAACAATAAATATACGTCTGTTTTGTTCATCTTGGAGTGAAATTTAGACTTTGCAACTTATTAATCTTCTGCTCCCTTCGTATTGCGCTTAACGTTAGAAACAGCTGTATCACTAATTGGTCCCATATTGAATTGAAAAACAAAAACATAGAATTTACGAACTTATTGTTCTGTTGTCATGAATGTGATGCTCACAGCTTTTTAGCTTTTAGTTGGCCTGAAGCCGGCAGTATCCTTTGATTGTTATGGCCATGCCAAGCATCATAATGTTTTTGCCGAGTTTACGTTCTAATTACCAAAAGCTGTTTGGCAAAACGGAGTGCCCTACTTGGTCGAAACCAGAAGAGAGCAGTGCAAATTGTCTCAAAATATTTGCCTGCTAAAGAAGTTGAGTTTTGTTTGCTGCCAGCTAGCCCTTGGAGCAGACACGTTGTTGAACACTCCGGCTTGAGTGTCAATAAACACAACTCTCCGTGATTTTTACTCAGCTGCTGAACTAACTTGTCGTGTTTAAACTTGTGGAAAAGTCTCACTTATTTTAAGCCATTTAAATGTCATGCTGTGACAATTGAAAAAGCCTAGTTTGGCATTTTACACGAGATGTCATCGCCTGTGATTGGCTTGCAACCAGTCAAGGTTGTACCCTGCCTCTTATCCAAAATCTGCTGGGATATGCTCCAGCACACCCACGATCCTAATGAGGATAAGCGGTGTAGAGGATGGATGTCCTGATTGTGAGAACATGACCTCATTTGGCCCATAGGTAAGAAAATGGCCTTGTGCCATCGCAGTGAGGACCCAGAATGTCTCCCGTGAATGTTATCTGATGCTGGAAGGCAGCCAGGACTTGCAGACAATGTCAGAGAATGTAGTAGTTTGATCGTCGATTGCATTCTTGTTTTCAATGGCTCACTGTTTAGCTGATATCTTGTTTTGAATGGCCGCTGAACACCATTGCAAAGCTATTGTTCTGATTGGCATTGTCAAAAAAAGTTCTTTTTGGGAGAATAGACAGTCCATTGCACCCTCTCGCTACCATCCAGGAACAGGTCCATAATTTTTCTTTTTTGCCTCTTTTGAATATAGAAACAGTGTGCATGCACATAATGCCTCCCTTGACATGGCTTTGACAGCTACTTGTCCCGCCGCTCCAACAATCCTGTGCCGATGAGCTGAATCTTGATGGAAGCACGCGACGACTGGGCAGGATCTGGTCAGTGACGGACTTGTAGCGTGACATCTCGCCCGATCCAAGACAAAGAATGATATCGATCTGGTAGTCTGACAGCGTGACCGTCGTGACCGGCAAAAAAATTTGTCCGGTTTGACAAGGCCATTAGACAGCAGCCAAGTTGCTGCAATGTCCTCAAAACACACCAAATCAACAACAAACTCCACACAGTGAGCAAATTCAAAGAATGCAGTTTAGCTGAAATTGTTTGTCACTATAAATGTGAGCGTGAATGTTGGTTTGTGTGTATGTCCTGAGATTGACCTGCGACCAGTTCAGGCTGTAGCCTGCCTCTCACCCAAAGTTGGTATATTATATTATCCTTGTTAGAGTGGTGGGAGAGCTGGAACCAGTCCCACCTAACCCTGAACTGGTTGACAGTCAATCGCAGGGCACATATGGACAAGCAAGCATTCACACTCGCATTCACTCTTAAGTACCCAGAGAAAACGCTTGAGGGGACCATTCAAACTCCTCACAGGAAGGCCGAGGTCGAGATTTGAACCCCAAACCTTGGCAGACGTGCTAACCATTCGTCCTACTGTGCAGAGATTGCCTGAACCCTTTCATGCACCTTCTCACTTAATAACATGATAACATGTCCGCTGTAGTAACCGCTGTCCCTCAAAGGGTTAAGATACAAACAAACAAATGTATTATTTTGAGCTTTTTAACTATGTAGGTCAATGCAACGCGATGCTGAATACAAGCTTATTAAATCGCCGGTTATTTTTCAGCAAGTGGTCATGATGTGCACTGATCCAGCAATAGCCCTGACTTTCATTCAAAGAAACCTCAAAGAAATTCTAAGGCACACCACATTGCTGCGCACAAGCAAAAAAAAATATTCTGTGCTGTTCCCCACACACATTCACTGCATAGCTGTAGATTTGGAGCATGTTTATCCATGATTAAGATAAATATTTTGACTCAGCAGATTGGGTTGAAGATTGGCTTAACCAAATTTTCAATCCAATTTGGTTGAATTTTGAGCCAGCAATTTTAAGAGTGTGTACTTGTTGATGCTGTCCAATCATTTTCCTGAGAAATATACCCATTAGCCAATATGCTGCTCATTGGTAATGTGATTACCAAGCCTGGTAATTTTCAAGGAGAACATTTGTCATTACTTTACATGATTTGGAGGCTTTCCCTGCAGCATGCGTGAATTGGCTGCCTCGCACTGTCAGCGTTTGTCTGGCCCGCTTGCTTTTTCAGCTCTCACTCTCGCGCTGTATTGCCGTGTCGCTCCAAAATCTGCAGCAACCTAAGTGCTCGAGCCAAGTAGCTGGATGAGAGCCAGCTTGATGTTGCAGATGAAAGCGGCGCTTCCGAGGCATCGCTCGGCCGCCTGCTTCACAGACACGTGAACGAGCCTCCGCTCCTTTTTTTGTGTCACGCACTTGAAGGTCCTTTTCTTTATTCTGGTCATTAGGAACAAAGCATGGAAAGTAAGCAGCTTCGATGGCTGGAGAACACTTGAGGCATTTCCAGTTTGAGTCAAAAGCCTCGCACTCCTGTTCGGATTGTTTTCTGTTCACATTGGATTTTTTGATTAGTATATCACGCTTGCGTTTGGGCTTTTGTTTAAAAAGTGTTCTTTGTTGTAGTGCAAATTGGTATTCAGTTCTCCATATGATTTTTTTTTTTTTTTTTGTGTCAAATGTGTGTCGACAAAACAGCAAAACAAAGGCCTACGTTTTTCTTAGCTGCTCTTTGGGAGAGAGGCAAGGTACAGTACACCCTGGACTGGTCATCAGCTAATGGGGATTGTTCACACGGAGTTTTGATTATTGTTGACCGGTTTAATGTACGCCCTGTTTCTTGCGCAAATTTTGATCTTTTTTAATGTGCCAAACTGAATTGTTGGCATTATACTGCCACAAAAATCATGCATTTTCCTGCCAATTCAGTACGAGCAAACAAAATCCAATAACCACTTGTGGGGATATTGTTTGCCTGTTCACCAAGCACCAAAGGTTAAAATTCATTCATTGGCGTCGCCAGTAAATTAGATGAGATCATTGCCGGAGGCCTCCTGTTAGTGACAGTAATCCAATCTTGGTAAATATTTCAA